AAAGCTTTGGGGGGGACCGGTTTTTTTTTTTTTTTTTTTTTTTTTTTAAAGGTTTTTTGCCATAGGGTATGTGTGCTCACAGGAGATGGAGGTGAAATCACCCCCGACCCGGGCGATGGCCAGCTACAATCCCTTCTCCTTTCTCCTGGGATTTGTAGCATGCACACGCACATGCCCAGGCAATATACCCTGATTTTCCTGATTTGCAAGCCCCATATCTGGGACTCAAGCAGTGGTAGGCCATATGGCAATCCAACACTTCAACCACTACGCCACCTGCTGGCCCTAGGAAGATAGCAGTTTGAAATTTTTTTTCTGCAGAGATTTTTGACTTAGGGTGCATGTACTCTCAAGAGACAGATAGTGAGGGAAAGTCACAACCCCCTGGGGAATGGTCACTCCACAGTCCCTTGTCCAAGTCTCCTCCCAGGATCTTGGGCACACATGCACACATGCCTGGCGTGAGTTTCAAGCCACCAAGTCCAAGACTCCATGGGTGGCCATGTGGGAGCTGAGTGTTATAAGTGTATGCCATCTGCTGGCCCCCAGATAGCATTTTTAAAACCCCAGTTTGAGCGCTAACTGCGGAGTAATTAAGCTATTCGGCCTGAGTCACCTAGACTGGGCTCCTGCCATCAGGATTTCTCCCTAGGATAAGAAAGGGCGTGGCATGACTGAGCCACCGACTTTGAGGGCCCCCCCCCAGGCCTGCACAGGGCAGGGCTGCAGGCTGGCCCCACCGCTGGCTTTTTTCCTTGCTCATGTGCCTAGTACATGTGTGCTCGTCATTCATTGATTCATGCTGGTGAACTGATTATAGAACTGAGCTTTTTAAATGATTGAGGTTGCCCTGGGACGTCCCTGCAAGTGAGTAAACATGAGAACACGAGTGCTCCTGGGTCATTTGGACACTGGGGCGGAGAAAGTGACTACTGCCCCTGTAGGTCAGCAAACAAAACACCTCCCCGTTCCCATTAGCCTTCTGCCTTGCCTCAAGAAGCCCTCCTTGTACACTAGCAAAAGACAATTCCAGCTAATGCCTGTGCCTGTCAGTGGAAAGGGCTCTCAGGACTGTCACTCACTGGGGCTGACTACCCCCAGTCACATCATTCTGTCTGCCTCGGAGCCAAGGCATCTCATACCACAAGGGTAGGCAGCCTCCCGAGGAAGTGCGTGTTTATTTGCAACTCACACTCACCCAATTCTCAATGCTGAGATGAACAGAAAGACTGGACAGTGGAGAGGAAGATAACCCATTCGTAATAGTTTGTGAATTAGGAACTTCTAAACCCTACCAGAAAAAAAATGTTAAATGCTAAGTATTACTACCAACTTTTGTATTTGTTGTATTTTCTTTTCTTTTTTTTGGGGGGGGGGGAGAGATTTTCACTGTAGGGCACGTGCGCTCGCCAGACAGAGACATAGAGACAGAAAGCGAGAAATCACCCCCCAGGAAGGATGGTTGTTGTATTTTTAAAGCTCCAGATTTTCCCATGTCTACCCCTAATTGAAAAAGTCTTTTTTTTTTTTTGAGAGGTTTTTGCTATAGGGCGTGTGCGCTCGCCAGAGAGAGAGAGACAGAGAGACAGA